TCTACCAACAAAACTAACCATATTTTTATTGCCCAGGAAACTTGAACATTTGATATCATGAAAGCTAAGCTTTCAAGACAAAGATAACTATTGGGCCAAATTTCAATTCACCCATGAACCATGATCCAACATTCTAAAACAAGATGATATTGTTACGGATAAATTCCTTGCTGTCTTCACGGTCCAATTGAAACTTGTCACCAATTTATATATGTTTCTCCGGCCACAACCTCGGTTTGTATTATTCAAAGATCCTCCTATTCATGAGAGGTGAATCATTCTAGGTAACAAAGAGATCGGATCTAAATTCTCTCTAATAACTTTTTAAAGTTTTATTTAATTTTAAATCCATCATTAAATACTAGTAGAGATATACTTATATAGTCAGTTTTATTTAAATTCATGTTCCGTGATTTTAATCGATAGAAAATATATTAAATATGGATTGTAATCCCTGAACAATCTACACGCCATCCACCTTTTGAGCATCAAACACCACTACCTCCCTCTCTGTCTCTCTCTCTCTCTCTCTCCATTAGGGTAATCTCCAAACCCCATTAAACTTTCGATAAGTACGAGAAAATTTGTCATTTCTATATCATTCTCTATGTAATGTATGTATGTATGCTTAGGCCTGCACATTTATATATGTTTTGCATTAGTTTTTAACACCACTCATGGTTAAACACGATGAATTCTTTAATCTTTTCGACTCTTTCTAGAGCAGGCCGGCACAGGCAACAAACATTTGTTTGTGTTGGGTTTCATTTGTTTTTGTGTTTTAACCAGTCCCTTTTTAATGTTAAATTAAAGGGGGTTTTTTTTTTTTGCCTGAAAAGTAGAACAGTGTGTTCTTGTGCAGAAGATTAATGGAGGGCCACGGCGGTGGTGGTGGTGGGGGTGGCCAAGTGAGAAGACTTCACATCATTTACCTTCTCAGTCGAAACGGTCGTATTGAACATCCCCATCTTGTTCGTGTCCATCATCTCTCTCGCAATGGTGTTCGATTGAAAGGTTGGTGCATATATATATGTGTGTGTGTGTGTGTGCGCTTTGTGTGTTCTTTGGGGCTAATGAGGTTTGGTTTTTTGGCTTAAGATGTGAAGAGATGGCTTTCAGAATTGCGAGGGAAGGACATGCCTGAATCATTTGCCTGGTCATACAAGAGGTACTACACAACATACACCATCATTTCCACCAAAACAACAGAATTGTTTCGGTTCGATGAAAACTGAAATAAATCGTTCATTAAATGTTGAAATTTCTTCTATGTTCAACAATAGACATATTTTCAATTGTTTCGAACTATTTTCAACGATGATTCAAAATAAGCTTTTCAATTTTCTGTTAGTTTTCATTCTTTTTCCGGAAGTTTTTGAAATCTTTTCAACATGTTTCAATTTTTCGAGTTGAACGAAACCAAATTTTGATCCAAACATGTACAACATCTAAATTTCAATTTTATACCTTCGAGTTTCAAAATTCGAGTACCACCACTTACCCTTTATGGGTTGATCTACGATTAAGAATTAAAATATCATTTTGGTGTATTGTTTTGTTATTTAGGAAGTAGAAAAGTTTTAACGTATTTCGAAAACGTGTCTATCCGTTTTGAAAACAGCAAGAAAAAAACAAAAAAATTAAGAGTTATTTTTTAAAAATATTGGTCAAAATATCTTGAAATATTTTAAAATATTCTGAAATAATTGTACAAATATATTAAAACATTACAAAAAATCTCAAAATATTAAAATTTTGATTTCATTATTAATTTATTTTAGTTTCCTTGAAAATGAAAATATTTTAAATGTTTTGACCGTTTTGAAACGAAATTTTTATCCTTATCTAAGATGCGTGATTGTGAAGATTACTCATTGAAAAAAACATCCCTTTTTGAACTTGGTATACATCAAATTATGAACTGTTATAATTAGGAATTTTGGGTGTAGGAGGTACAAGACAGGGTATGTATGGCAAGACTTGTTGGATGAAGATCTTATTACTCCAATCTCGGACAATGAATACGTCCTCAAGGGATCCGAAATTCTCTCCACCACCTCTAACAATGGTAACACAATCTAATTTCATGTTAATCAAGCAATTTAATTTTTCTTAATTTACTATGTCATATATGAGAAATCGTATCAATAACATTTTCATTCATTTCTATATTTGTATGTCATATTGAATTCATGTCATATATGAATCGTGTGTAACTAACATATAAACAAATCAAGTCATGTATTTCTTTTTATTGATTGTACTTATACCCGATTCATTTATTAATCATGTTGTGTCGTGTCATGTCGGATCCACTCATTTATGAAACAGGTGACTTAAGGAAGACCCAAAATTGCTAATTTCGTGTTTTGTTCGTGTCATGTCATATTTTCACACTCCTATATTTTAGGTTGTTAAAGTGTAATTTCCCCAGCTTTATTCTAATTTGAACTTATTTTTGGAATTTAATGCTCCCACACAGCGGATCATTCATACGATGGAAAGAAAACTTCCATGCAAAAAGAGCCACCTCTTGAGGATCATGAGGCCAAACCACACAAACTATCATCAAAAGACATAAATGGAGAACACCCAGAGGCTAAAATGGGAGTGACAACAAAAACAACATGTGAAATCGAAGAAGATTCGCCTTCATACAACTCCGAGACATCGGCATTAACGGACGATTCCATCAAGCTCGAAGATGACAACCGTTTGGACACAGCCAAAAGAGAAATAACAGATGAACAAAGCCACACATTTGAGGATGATTCTTCTTCTTTTTATTCAACTCTCTTGAACGACAAAAACAAGAAGGGCAATGGTGACAAACCGGGAAATATCGGTACACCAGCTTCGTCGAAATCATCGTCGTTCAGGATTAGAAGGAGCTATTCAGGTGGAGCATCTCACATGTTTAGGAGTTTGATCACCTGTAGAGCTGTGGATACTGATGAGTCGGCCATGGTGATGATCAACAGGAGCAATAAAGCTTCTCTGAATATTCCTGCTAATAAGGGGTATAGTAAGATTATAAAGGGAGAGAAGTTGGGAGGATCTGAAAGGATCTTTGGGACTCCATGGAACCAACAGCAGCATAGTCGCAGGTACTTTAAATTCAAAGATATTCCTTGGATTAATCAATCAATAGCATTCAAAAATACTCTTCATATCTTTTTTTCAAATTCTCTATAAGCTACACATAAATGTATATGTATATACATGTGTGTAGGTGTGTATATGCACCTAGAAAATATGTTTATGTGTATGTGTATGTGTGTGAAAATTATGCTTCGCAGAAGTAAACTATAGCTAAGATCTCATGTCATCCCTTTTACTATGAGTGTCTCCCATTGCCCCGCAACTACTTGAATAGTCTCACTTTACCCCAATAGCAAACCTTCGTTATTTTTTAACAAATATCGTTAGATATAAAGTAAATAAAATCACATAATTCCAAGGNAAACTATAGCTAAGATCTCATGTCATCCCTTTTACTATGAGTGTCTCCCATTGCCCCCCAACTACTTGAATAGTCTCATTTTACCCCAATAGCAAACCTTTGTTATTTTTTAACAAATATCGTTAGATATAAAGTAAATAAAATCACATAATTCCAAGTGAAGGAAGAGGCAAATAACAAAATTTCTCATCCAATTTTTAACAAGTCTACAATTGGTATTAAGATATGGGTATGGTCGATAATCAAAATTTTGTTTTGAAATGGTCAAAATGTTTCTGTTTTTGAAAGAGACTGAAATGAATCAATAATGGAATCAAAATTCTAATATTTTGAGGTATTTCAAGGTGTTTTGTAATATTTCAATATATTTTTACAATTATTTCGAAATGTTTCAAGGTATTCCATGATACTCGTAGTATATTTCGACTAATGTTTTGAAAAAATAATTTTTAAAATTTTTTATTTTTTTTCATTTTGTTTCCGAAATCGGTCAAAATATTTTTAAAAACGTCAAAAATATTTCTATTTATTAGGTGACTAAATCAATTCTTCCTGCATGTACTAATGATAGGAATTGAATGTGGTGCCAGGAAAAGCTGTGATGGGGTGGAGGATAAAAGGAAGAATAAGAAGAGTGAATTCAGCAAGGACAAAACAGTCTCTGCAGCTTACAAGCCTATCAACGGACCGACATGCTCGTAAGTAGGACAAATTACTAACTAACCAATTCTATTTTTTCTTATAGTTTTACCCTTTTGATATGTATAAAGTTGGATGCCATTTTGTTTGTTATATAACAGACGATATGTTATGAAAATATCAAAATTATATCATTTTTCGACATATTAAAGTAATATTGTAGCACGACGACTCTATATGTCGTGAAATTGCGTCTCAATGAGATCCAACAGTAAACTCGTCATCGTGTATTGACAAGGACTCATTTATATGTAATGGATGCTACTTACATTTATGGTAAATGATATATAAAAAAAAAATGAAAGAAATTGTACCTGAGATCCAAGTCTGATTGTAAGACGGCTCCACCAATCTTCTCACCTCACCGGGAATGTCGAATGAAATAGGTGGCCAGCCAAATTGTCTGGTGTCACTATATGGCAATAGGACTCGACCCCAAGTCAGGTCCCCAGAAGGGAGAAGCGGCAGTGGCTTTACAACGCAGGCTAGCCGACGATCTTGCACCAACAAAGCTTCTTGTTAAATAAAAATTTCAGACCTGCTATGAGAGTTTTTCTTTTATTTTCTGGTATGGTTAACAATAACCTGGTCATGAATCGTAATCTGAAAGTCCATGCTTTAAGAATAGATCATTATTGCAATCATTTCTGAAAATTTCAATTATGCTGGTAAAAAAATGGTGACCAAAACATACATGCATGCATGATGCAGGCAATGTGGGAAGCAATTCGGGCCAGAGAAACTGTACACACACATGAAATCATGTAGGGGAATGAAAGTCTTTGCCAAGGGTTCAAGTCCTGTTTTTTCTTCTGCCACAGCTGAGAAGGCGCCGCGGAAATCAATGGATTCTTCGTATCAGGATTCAGTTTCTCGCTATTACTTGACTAATCACTGAATGATAGTTATCATTTTTTTGAGTAAGATAGTTAGGCGTTGTTTTTTCTTCCAGCATCTTTCTGAGAAATTTTTTAGCATTTTATAGTTTCCGGTGTACCTCAATGTAAAGTGAAAAAGGGCGGGCAGCACGCGAAGATACAAAATATAGAAGTTCTCTTTGCTTGCTCTGTTACTCACTCTTCCACTATTAGCATATCTAACGACTTTGGATGCGACAGAACAATTCAGATTCATGGTTCTTCAACATACTCCTATAAAAAGTGAAGCTCAACCATCATTAAATGTGGGGAAAAAATATCATCGTAAAAGGGAATGGGACTTGCTGCTTTCTACTCTGCTTTTTCCACTTTTCACTTTTCCTTTGCCACATTTACGGTGGGTGATACACTAAGAAGCAAGGATACGGATACGAATACGAGATATAGATACGATACGATACAGGTATGAAAATATGACAAAACCAAAAAAAATAGGATACGGGTACGACTAGGATACGTCCATAAAATATATATTTTTTAAAATTTTATTATTATATTTAATGTAATAATTATGATTTATAAAGTAAATTACACTCCTATCAAAAATATATAATAATAACTAACCATCAGAGTCAGTCAATCGTCAGTGTGAGTGAGTGAGAGAGAGAGAGAGACGATCGTCATCGACTATCGACTGAAGAGAGTGGGGGGCTTGACAAACTGTGGAAGAAAAGTGTACAAGTTTTAGTCTTTTAGACTTTTAGTTTAATAATATTTTTTTTTTTGCAAATAAAGGCCTAAATATATTGCTCTTGTGCCCCTATACTTTTTTAAAATTTGAGTAATACTCCGCCGTATCCTTATGCGTATCCTAGGCGTATCCCACACGTATCCAAAACGTATCCGGCCATATCCGAAAACCAATCTTTTTTTTTTTAATTTTAGGATACTTTTCAGACATATCCGGTACGTATCCGAAGTGTATCCGTATCCAAAAATATCCGATACGGATACTTTGACCCTTTTGAAATATTCGTGCTTCACAGGTGATATATATTGTATAAGTGAAACTAAATAAAATTGCAATAGAAATAAGCTGAATCCTAATGCCAATGACTTTAATAGTGTCTCGTTTAGATATCTCTCTGATTCCGATGAGACACCTGCAATTTTTTGCCATCCAGACCCCACTTCTCTCATGCATTCAGATTGATATGGTATTCCACCTTGATTGTCCCCTCAAACCTTTTTCATTCAAGGTAAAAAAACCAATGAAGGAGAGGATCGAAATGGGAATAAAAGAGAAAAGTTTCAGGTTGAGTATAACCCCTGGCACATTCGAAATTGGCACAAACTCAGGTTCAATATTTTTCACACCTTTAAACTAACTCAAGTTATAGTAATTAGCTAAAAATTCAAGAGAACAGTCGACACAAACTTGAATAGTTTATAACACCCAAAAAAATAAAAAACTCAATACAATACAAATTTTATTATACATAATTATAAATAAAAAAAAATTAAATTCACCAAATTTTGACATACTTTATTATTTAATGAATGTATGGGTTGTTGATGACAGAGCAAAACGGCCCTGATCCGCTTTCGACATTCCCATCTACTCTGATGCACGGATTCTACCACTTAACAAAGAATCTTTCTACTAGCCCCAACTGAGCTGAGAGCTTTAAAAAAAAAAAATGTATATCTTTTGGGTGCAAAATATTTTTCGCCCTAAAATAAGCTATCAATCTGGGCGATACCAAATTTTAAAAAAAAAACTGGGCAATACCAAATGACAGCCACAACAGAACGAGGACAAAAATGGTAGTTAACATTCCAATACCATGCCAAAAATAATTTATAACTCATGAATTAGTTTATTTGCAACCATTAATCGGGGAAATAACAAAATAAAGTGAAATAAAAAAGAACAAGAAAATTCCACGCCCGTCTCAGTCTAGATAAGAAGAAAAAAAAACCAAACCACCCCACATTGGTACAGTAGTCGATACAAAAAACCAAACCACCCCATNTAAGATATGGGTATGGTCGATAATCAAAATTTTGTTTTGAAATGGTCAAAATGTTTCTGTTTTTGAAAGAGACTGAAATGAATCAATAATGGAATCAAAATTCTAATATTTTGAGGTATTTCAAGGTGTTTTGTAATATTTCAATATATTTTTACAATTANTAAGATATGGGTATGGTCGATAATCAAAATTTTGTTTTGAAATGGTCAAAATGTTTCCGTTTTTGAAAGAGACTGAAATGAATCAATAATGGAATCAAAATTCTAATATTTTGAAGTGTTTCATAATGTATCAAGGTGTTTTGTAATATTTCAATATATTTTTACAATTATTTCGAAATGTTTCAAGGTATTCCATGATACTCGTAGTATATTTCGACTAATGTTTTGAAAAAATAATTTTTAAAATTTTTTATTTTTTTTCATTTTGTTTCCGAAATCGGTCAAAATATTTTTAAAAACGTCAAAAATATTTCTATTTATTAGGTGACTAAATNTATTCCATGATACTCGTAGTATATTTCGACTAATGTTTTGAAAAAATAATTTTTAAATTTTTTATTTTTTTTCAGTTTGTTTCCGAAATCGGTCAAAATATTTTTAAAATACGTCAAAAATGTTTCCATTTATTATTAGGTGACTAAATTAATCCACAAAAACAAAATTTTTACCCTCGGATATACTTAGTGCAATTCTTCCTGCATGTACTAATGATAGGAATTGAATGTGGTGCCAGGAAAAGCTGTGATGGGGTGGAGGATAAAAGGAAGAATAAGAAGAGTGAATTCAGCAAGGACAAAACAGTCTCTGCAGCTTACAAGCCTATCAACGGACCGACTTGCTCGTAAGTAGGACAAATTACTAACTAACCAATTCTATTTTTTCTTATAGTTTTACCCTTTTGATATGTATAAAGTTGGATGCCATTTTGTTTATTATATAACAGACGATATGTTATGAAAATATCAAAATTATATCATTTTTTGACATATTAAAGTAATATTGTAGCACGACGACTCTATATGTCGTGAAANTAGGACAAATTACTAACTAACCAATTCTATTTTTTCTTATAGTTTTACCCTTTTGATATGTATAAAGTTGGATGCCATTTTGTTTGTTATATAACAGACGATATGTTATGAAAATATCAAAATTATATCATTTTTCGACATATTAAAGTAATATTGTAGCACGACGACTCTATATGTCGTGAATTTGCGTCTCAATGAGATCCAACAGTAAACTCGTCATCGTGTATTGACAAGGACTCATTTATATGTAATGGATGCTACTTACATTTATGGTAAATGATATATAAAAAAAAAATGAAAGAAATTGTACCTGAGATCCAAGTCTGATTGTAAGACGGCTCCACCAATCTTCTCACCTCACCGGGAATGTCGAATGAAATAGGTGGCCAGCCAAATTGTCTGGTGTCACTATATGGCAATAGGACTCGACCCCAAGTCAGGTCCCCAGAAGGGAGAAGCGGCAGTGGCTTTACAACGCAGGCTAGCCGACGATCTTGCACCAACAAAGCTTCTTGTTAAATAAAAATTTCAGACCTGCTATGAGAGTTTTTCTTTTATTTTCTGGTATGGTTAACAATAACCTGGTCATGAATCGTAATCTGAAAGTCCATGCTTTAAGAATAGATCATTATTGCAATCATTTCTGAAAATTTCAATTATGCTGGTAAAAAAATGGTGACCAAAACATACATGCATGCATGATGCAGGCAATGTGGGAAGCAATTCGGGCCAGAGAAACTGTACACACACATGAAATCATGTAGGGGAATGAAAGTCTTTGCCAAGGGTTCAAGTCCTGTTTTTTCTTCTGCCACAGCTGAGAAGGCGCCGCGGAAATCAATGGATTCTTCGTATCAGGATTCAGTTTCTCGCTATTACTTGACTAATCACTGAATGATAGTTATCATTTTTTTGAGTAAGATAGTTAGGCGTTGTTTTTTCTTCCAGCATCTTTCTGAGAAATTTTTTAGCATTTTATAGTTTCCGGTGTACCTCAATGTAAAGTGAAAAAGGGCGGGCAGCACGCGAAGATACAAAATATAGAAGTTCTCTTTGCTTGCTCTGTTACTCACTCTTCCACTATTAGCATATCTAACGACTTTGGATGCGACAGAACAATTCAGATTCATGGTTCTTCAACATACTCCTATAAAAAGTGAAGCTCAACCATCATTAAATGTGGGGAAAAAATATCATCGTAAAAGGGAATGGGACTTGCTGCTTTCTACTCTGCTTTTTCCACTTTTCACTTTTCCTTTGCCACATTTACGGTGGGTGATACACTAAGAAGCAAGGATACGGATACGAATACGAGATATAGATACGATACGATACAGGTATGAAAATATGACAAAACCAAAAAAAATAGGATACGGGTACGACTAGGATACGTCCATAAAATATATATTTTTTAAAATTTTATTATTATATTTAATGTAATAATTATGATTTATAAAGTAAATTACACTCCTATCAAAAATATATAATAATAACTAACCATCAGAGTCAGTCAATCGTCAGTGTGAGTGAGTGAGAGAGAGAGAGAGACGATCGTCATCGACTATCGACTGAAGAGAGTGGGGGGCTTGACAAACTGTGGAAGAAAAGTGTACAAGTTTTAGTCTTTTAGACTTTTAGTTTAATAATATTTTTTTTTTTGCAAATAAAGGCCTAAATATATTGCTCTTGTGCCCCTATACTTTTTTAAAATTTGAGTAATACTCCGCCGTATCCTTATGCGTATCCTAGGCGTATCCCACACGTATCCAAAACGTATCCGGCCATATCCGAAAACCAATCTTTTTTTTTTTAATTTTAGGATACTTTTCAGACATATCCGGTACGTATCCGAAGTGTATCCGTATCCAAAAATATCCGATACGGATACTTTGACCCTTTTGAAATATTCGTGCTTCACAGGTGATATATATTGTATAAGTGAAACTAAATAAAATTGCAATAGAAATAAGCTGAATCCTAATGCCAATGACTTTAATAGTGTCTCGTTTAGATATCTCTCTGATTCCGATGAGACACCTGCAATTTTTTGCCATCCAGACCCCACTTCTCTCATGCATTCAGATTGATATGGTATTCCACCTTGATTGTCCCCTCAAACCTTTTTCATTCAAGGTAAAAAAACCAATGAAGGAGAGGATCGAAATGGGAATAAAAGAGAAAAGTTTCAGGTTGAGTATAACCCCTGGCACATTCGAAATTGGCACAAACTCAGGTTCAATATTTTTCACACCTTTAAACTAACTCAAGTTATAGTAATTAGCTAAAAATTCAAGAGAACAGTCGACACAAACTTGAATAGTTTATAACACCCAAAAAAATAAAAAACTCAATACAATACAAATTTTATTATACATAATTATAAATAAAAAAAAATTAAATTCACCAAATTTTGACATACTTTATTATTTAATGAATGTATGGGTTGTTGATGACAGAGCAAAACGGCCCTGATCCGCTTTCGACATTCCCATCTACTCTGATGCACGGATTCTACCACTTAACAAAGAATCTTTCTACTAGCCCCAACTGAGCTGAGAGCTTTAAAAAAAAAAAATGTATATCTTTTGGGTGCAAAATATTTTTCGCCCTAAAATAAGCTATCAATCTGGGCGATACCAAATTTTAAAAAAAAAACTGGGCAATACCAAATGACAGCCACAACAGAACGAGGACAAAAATGGTAGTTAACATTCCAATACCATGCCAAAAATAATTTATAACTCATGAATTAGTTTATTTGCAACCATTAATCGGGGAAATAACAAAATAAAGTGAAATAAAAAAGAACAAGAAAATTCCACGCCCGTCTCAGTCTAGATAAGAAGAAAAAAAAACCAAACCACCCCACATTGGTACAGTAGTCGATACAAAAAACCAAACCACCCCATTAGAGTTGAAATTATCGCCTTACATGTACTCACGACATCTCTCCAAATCACACCCCCCCCCCCCCAAAAAAAAAAAAAAAAAAAAAAAAAAAAAAAAAAAAAAAAAAAAAAAAAAAAAAAAA